GCTCTGGCACTTGCCGTTGCTGTTTTGATGGTTGACTGCGATTGCTCACGTAATGTCTGCCCTCCTGATTTGGTGGCAGGGGGAGTTAGTGGAGGTTCATTCTCTTCTTTACCAGAGCTATCACTACTACCATTCTCTTGTTCGCGTTGTTGCTGTTGTTTACGCTGGACCATCTGAGCATAACTTAATTTAGTAGTTGTATTCTTATCATCTGATAATTGCTGAAAATATTTAAGCATACAAGTTATATTCCATGCATTTTTACCTTTCCCACATGAAGGCATTATTTAACTCAAGAAAGTCTAAATTCATTTCTGACAATATTTTAAACATAAAATGGAAAAAAATTTCTACAAAATGCTTAAAATGAAAATTGCGGCTTTGTTTGAATTAAAACAAAATGGCAACCAACACAAACATGAAATATTCTAATCAAAAATGCCTTATGCATGTAGAGCGTTCATGAGAACAGACCAAAAGACAATAAAACTTGACATCAAATACCATAATAAATACCAAATGTTTTTGACTTTATCAGGGAAAGTTAGATTTATGTGAGCATATAACTGAAATCTTACTGCACAAGATACTGTTGCTGTTTGAGGTTTAGTATGATGAACTGGTTGAGCAGCAGACGTAGTTGTATGTTGTTGTTGTTGTCTGATAGTTGTAGTTGCTGTTGATACTGTTGACGTTGATGTCACTGGAGCCGGTTCTGAAAGTTTTAAATCAATTGGACTGGTTGCTTTACTAACTCTGTAAACAGATAAAAATGAAAATGAATTAAATGGTTTGTGTCCTACTTTTCTGCAGTTAGAGGACAGAAATTCTAGAAACTGTGCGAGGAATGGACAAGGACTGTTCTTTTTCAATTTCCAAATGTCAAGGGATCTTTAAAGTGCACAGCCTAAAAAATCTCATCAGAATGACTAGATACCTTTTCCAAGGAATTCTATTGACTCATGCTAGGATTGAACTCTGGATCGTCAGGCAGGTTAGCCATTACAGCTCCCACAGTCAGATACAAAGTTGGGCATATAAAAATTCATCCATACTCAAAATTTGAAAAGCAAAGTTACTTGTGTGTGACTGGTTCTGTTGAGTCTAGTGGTGAAAGAGGTTCTGATTTGACTGGTACTGCTGTTGGTTCAGGTATATCTCTGGTTGGTGAGACTGATACAGCTATAGGGGCAGGAGATGGCTGAGGAGTGCTGTGAGTAATAATAGAGGTCTGTGTTTTACTGTCCCGCATGTGTGGTTTTGCCGTGCCTTTCACAACATCTGATATTTTAGTCTCGGGTAACTCACTGGAGGAAGAGTTATTCTGAAATAACAAGTTAAAAGAATTTGTGATGGAGGACAGTGAAACTCGCCACCTGTATTCAGCCAGACACCATTGTCATGTATAAATTACTTATCATACCACCCATCATACAGCATCCCACTTCAGCGTTTTGTGATGTAGCTGTCGCAAATACCTTTAGAACCACAGAGATCTGACAAAAAATTGGAAAAAGGCCCTTTTAACCTCTTTAACAGACCAGAACATTGAACTTACAGAGGAACCTGGTAGAGGAGGGAATGATTTGGACTCAAATTCAAACTGACTGTCAATACTACGACCATTAGTATATGAAGAATTTCTCTGAAATATACAAAATACAAATGAAAAAACATTGCTGGTTCGAGTCAGTGAGTTCTGAACAGGTTTTGTCTGTTCTAAATCTAGTCTTCAATCTAACTGTATGTATTTGGTTTGTCAGAATTTAACCTCTATTCCTTCTTGGTCATTTTGAATTCTATCTACACTGGTTTATTTGATGAACACAGTAGATATATGTAAAAGTTTAGGAATGTTGAAGAGACCATTAGTACAGTAATATTAATATACAACTATTAATGTTAACAATTAAACAATAATAAAACAACCAATGGAACAGATTGTAACAAAATGAACAGTTTTTAAGTATTGGGTTAATTTTAATGGCATGTTTGTTTCATGTTTCAATTATAACTACTTAAAGTTAAGTATATTTTCTTATTTTGATATTTTTTTTTTCAGAAAGCTCATAACCTCAAATTGGGATTTGTTTTCCCTGTTTCAAAGTTAAGGTTGTGAATAGTGGCTCAATGTTCACTTATTTTGGTAATTTTGGATTTCCACTGAATAAGAGTAAATATCAATTGTGAAATTATTAACCTTTTTACTCAAATTTTCATGTCCTACCTGCACTCTATCTTTTTAGGCTATCAGATTTCTTTATGGTTTCAAATACATTAAGAAAACACTTAAATTTCCAACTGAAAGGATTTTTGACATTTCATTGGAATCCATTAGAATAGACTTCTAAATCCAAAAGAATGTCATTAAGCAGGTCGAGAGGTCACCAGGAATAGATTAAGAAACAAACATGTCTAACACCACAATTTAGAACAATGCCAATGGCGTAGTATTAAGTAACAACAATCAAACAAGTCAACAATCATGCTGTCTCAGCCGCTTTTCTCATACCTTTTTCTCTTTGGCATTATGATCTATAGAATGATCTGTTCCATTGGTTAAAGGAGGACGCCGAAATGAATTCTAATAAAATAAAATGGAGAGTTGTATAATGGATAAAGGGACATTAACTATTTTGTACTAGCTGGGAAGCAGACATGATTTTTCAAACATATGCTGCATTCAATACCTGCTGTGAAAATAGTGTTTACGACTTTGAATATTGTTAACAAAGAACCCCACTGTAAGTTCCCACTATTACAAATGGTCAAGGTGAATGTTGTAGAAGTTGTGAAAATCAGTGTCAAAACAGTTTTCACAACTTTCTAAAGTAATACATATGAGAAAACCAAATATCAAAAGGAAATTTACAACATTAGCCCTTTAAACACAGTATCACAAGAAGTGTCAACTAAGGTTATACCTCTAAACCAGAAAGTAATGGAGTTTATGTAACAGTGTAAAATATCAAATTTTGAATGTAGCATAATATATTTTTCAATGTGCAACAATATAGTGGCTTATCCATCATAGAGAAGTAAAAGGAAACTTACGGGGGTTGAATTTCTGTTTATATTAGCACCATCATCATATCTACCTCTGTGTCCTTTATTAAAACCTCTAGTACTAAAATAGATCAAAAATATTTATCATATTATGTGAACAGAAAGAAATACATTTTTTTTACAAAGATAACTTAGGTTTTCAAGGATCCCTTTAAACCTCTATCACAGATCATCTCCACCCATTTACAGATGGATCAGTTGAAATGATGAGAAAAGATTACTTTAACATGTTGACTATGATTAGAACTTGTATCTGTAGTTTCCTAGGCCTTTACATTTAGAAGAATCAAATCCCCTTCTACTGATAATATCAACCAATCAGTAAAAATCCAATGGTCAGCCTAAAAACAAAGCACTCACAATCTAGGGTCTATTTTATTGCTAATCATATTAGCGTTGGCATCCATTCCGTGTGGTGGAACAGTCTGCTGGATAATATGAGACTGGTTGGTTGGATTATCCATACGTCTGGTATAACTACTATTAGTAGGAGCACCGTTCTCTAATCCTCGTGGACTCATTCTGGGTGCTGTGTTAAAATTACGTTCAGGTACAATCCTTCCTTCAGAACTACTCCTCTCTGTATTGACGTGACGATGTGGTTTTTGATTTCTGAAATGAAAGTTTTACATTACATTGTACTGGGTTTCCACTAAGGACCCCATTCCAACTATGCCTCCCAGCTTGTTTCTTTCCCTGAACCTACCTAAACCAGACATGAGAGTGTGCTAATAAAATATTGGCAGAACATGCCATAAAGATAAGGGGGAGATTTTTGGCTTTTGGAAAATCTCATGTCTGCTATACTCAATTTCCTAATCCGATTTAGGAAAACAGCTTTACAATCCCTTTAAAGCCAAATGCCATTAACCTTAAAAAAAAAAAACACCAGATGTTCCCAGAGAATAGACATAGATTTAATGACTTACTTATTTCTGAGATTAGGATTATGATTATAGATGTTACCATGGCGACCGGTAGAAGTAACTGAGTTGATATTTGTTGCAGAATAACCATTCATTGCCAACATCTAGAATTAAAAAAAAAATAATATGCACTGAAAACAAAAATCTATATTCTTTAAAGAAGAGCTTTACACTTACGGGCTTTCTGAATTTTAGCTCCTCTTATATATAAACGTTCAAATAAACACAGAATCATCTTTCAGTGGTAGAGTATTAAATATTTCTTACCTGTCCTGGATCTAGAAAGGGGGCAGTGGCTTGCGTCTGCCATGGGATGCTAACAGAGGGTTGAATTGGGTAGTAGAATGGCTGAAAATAAAGTTTCTAAATTAACCCTTTGAACATAGAACGTGAATAACATGAAAGTCATGTATCCTGAACTCAAAAAGAAATTTGCCACATTCCACAAAAAATCTTACTTTCATGATTGACCTAGGGCTGATATTTCTCGTGTAAATTTCAATTACAACAAATTATTACCCAAAGAATTCATGGAACAGGGTGCTAGAGTAGTATTCAATAAGATTGTGTTATTTAATATAATCCCTACCACAAAATCTCCCACTCTATCACAAATTGACAATATAAAAATGGCTATAGCTTACCGATTGACCATTAACATACTGTACCCTAGGCACAATGGGATAAGGTTGGGGATTAATAGGAAAGGTTGGCTGTTGTTCTGTAGGTGTGTATGTCGGTTTATTGAAACCATTACGAGGAGCTGGATACTGAGATCTTATCAATGGTTTTGCTTTTATTCTGGCCTGTAAAATACAATACAGCAACATTAAATATAAAATAACTAAGTATCCCTTTACATCTTTCCAACCTACAGACGTCTTGACTGAAAATTACATGTTGTGATATCAGTGTCCTTGATACAATTGAAAAGATTACAAAAACCACTTAAGACTACTTACAAACAAAAACAAGAGAAGGCTTCTCTTATAAAGCAGAACAAATGCTTTAAATTTCATTGAATTGCTTCCCCCAACTCCAAAAATATTTCCAACTTACCATGATGGGTTTACCCAGGAAATTCTGAACTTCCTCACGTAGATATTGATAGGCTTGTTGAGCATCTTCATCAGATTCAAATGTAACATACCAATTACTATTATGAGCAAATTCACAACTCACAAATTTGGGACAATTCTCTCCCTTGAATAGGTTCTTCACATCCTGAAATCAATTGAAATAAAATGGAGTGAAACTAATTGGGCCAATAAAGATGGGCCATGCAGTGTTTAATAAGGAATATTTTGTCAGGAAAACTGTAACATACTGGCTGGTTAAGGTTTAATGTCCCATTCAAATACAAGATACTTTTACTGGCAAAAGGGGGAAATGGGATTAAAAAAACAGAAGGCATTGTCTCGACCTGGAGGTACACTATGGGTCAAGAATAGCAGCCACACAATTGAAGAACAAAAGTAGTTCCAGAGCAATGAGAGGAGGAAATAAAATCTCATCCTACTTGTCTGCAATATGTTGAGTAATGCTGGAGAAATCAGTTCAGATTAAAAGTTATATTTTTATCAGTGTTTACTTCAGGTAAATGTTCTAATTCATACCTCAACGGGTGTTGTTTCTGGCACTTCTCTTAAAATAACTACACATCGACTGTGATTTGGTCTTACTTTCTCTCCCTTGTCATCTACTTGAACATTGACAGAATCTACAGAATACAAATTTACAAAAGACAATGTACAGTGACCGTTTACTCTCGCTGAATGGTCGAATATAGCAGCAGTAAGGATCCATATATTACAGTCTTGGGCTTAAAATTGACAATCCTCAAATCCTTTTAGAACTGAGAGTTCTCAATAATCAACATTTAATGCTGACACTGTCAATAATTAAAAGTAAGAAACAATTTCATTTTGAGGTAGGATATGAGGTAATAATATATGGTAAGCATTTTTATAGTATCAGAGGGAAAATTTGAATACAATTTTGCAAATAGAAGTCAAAAATGGTCAAGACAAATAGAAATCTTCTTTACAATATATGTAAATATTGTTTTTATGGTGTATGTATCTTACCTCTCAATACACTGATAATTAGATCTAAATCACTGGTTAATTTTTGCACTTGTGGAAATTTAGCTACTGTTGCTATAGGAACAAACATTTCTGTATCCATTTGAGATTTAAGATATGTATCGTGGATCAGATTTTCCCTGTAATAAAACATATTCCTGTTATAATATTTATTATAATACATAGTTTGTAATATTTGCCTGATAAAAATGGTCAAATTCACAGTTCTAAATGTGTCTGAAAAGCATAAATCACATAAATCATCAGTTTTCAATTAAAACAAAACAAAAGAAATACAAATTTTACTGGTCAATACCAGACTTTTTACAAAAACTTACCTCGAGAAGTAGTATTCCAGTTGAGTTTTAAGCATCTGTTTTAATTGATCTTCTGACACTGGTTCCATAGATACATTATCATCTGTTGATATTGTTGACACTATAAAATACAGAATAGATTGGAAATGATGTTATGTAAAGGTTTGAAAGTTCTAAGTAACTACTTGCTCTAGAACCCCTCAAAAGAACGAATGAGCAATATGGTCAGTAAAGTGTCACTTTGGACAGAAATATTCCATCTGATTATATATGAAAACTGTGACGTGTGTTAGGCCATTGATCATATCATACTCTATTACCACAAAAATTCTGACAGCCATTACTTTACAAGTGACCTTCAACTCTCAAACTTACAGACTACAAATAAAACGTCCTTATAGGATTCAGACAACAACTTGATTAACTTAACTTACAATATGTAAACCATGTTTATAACTACCTGAAGCACTGTCATTGATATTTTCTGGCGCCAACGTGAGAATTTCCATCGGGCCATCTTCAGGTACCATGGGTATAGGTGATATATCTGTAGGGACAAGGCCTGTTCCCACCATATCTTCCAATGTAAATTCATCTGTGACAAGGGGAATTGGGATAGTATCTTCTGTTGGGGGAGGGGTAGAGGGAATGATTCCCCCATCAGCATCTGTCACATGATCACCATTGGGTATCTCTATAAAGATTATTTTTAAAGACATGAGAGAGGTGTAAGAGAGGTGTTTCAAATAAAATAATACCTATGTATTGTTCTTGGATGGTTAGGAGATTGTGTATTGAGGAGAATGAAAGAGAGCATCGATTTACATCACTCTAATTTTCCGTCAGACATCTGTAATTCTTGCCATTCCACTAAAACTATGACCTAACTCTTGCAAAGGCCTTGGATATCATTTACAACTTTTGCAGAAGTGATTTTAACTTACATGTTTAATCATTTCTACTTCAGGAACCATGGACATGATGAAATGATAATAAACAATCCCTCGTTACAATCCCATTAATAAATTATAAATTTAAAGCAATTCTGTATACTTACGTTTAAGACTTTCGTCTAATAAACTGTCATCAAGTAAGGGAGGTGACTCCAGTGAATCAACTGGTGGTTGATCTGGGGAAGTGGGAGACTTACTCTCGAACACATTGGCATTTGGATTAAGTTTTAAACCTTGATTCCTCGAGGTAATCTGAAATGTACAACAAAATGTTCTATTACACTCAAATGTCTATAATCAGTTATAAACTTGGTTTGTCATGTTAAATCTGGCAATGTATTTTGTGTGTTTGCTACTTCCATAAATATGATAATCCTGTATCTTTAAACCTTTATAAAGATCAACAACTTTCCCTCGCTTCTTAAATCTATACTTTGTCAGGTACACAAGTACCGGTGAACTAAAATATCCAGCCTTGAACTAGAACAAATGTACAGGCTTACAAATGTGCAATTTTCCTAAATTATCTTTTAGGGACAACAAGGATTTTCAACACCTTACAATGAGTGCACAGTCTAACAAAACAAAATATAATGGAATCTAAATTCCAATTTTCCTGTACCTGTTTGGGCGAATTAGAAAGTCCAAAAACTTGCAGTGGGCAATGAGCAGTCAACATACAACACAAGTTGTTCGTTCATAAACAACTTTCATAAATATAAGTGCAGCAGATTTGTACAATATGGCTATTTCAGACTAGACCTTGAGTCAGCAATTTCTCTTGTTATTTATAATTATGTGGCGGGCAATTATCTAGAGTACACAACTAGAACGTACTGGTTTTATCCAACTAAACCATCCATGGATCTAGATCAAAGTGGTTTTATGGCACGCAAAGAAAGTTTAACCATGTCCTTACACAAGCATCCCAACAATTTAGTGGACAAAGTTACTTAACAGTAACTGTTTATAACTTGCACATGAGAATGAGATAATTCTATTTGCTTTACTGGCCCACCATATTTTATAATTCAAACCATGCAATGGATTTTGGGAGAGATTTTGCTAGGAAATCAGCATTAACCTGGTCTATTGTGATTTCCACCTAGAGGATCCTTAATGTGTAAGCTTACTGTCTGTGACATACAAGGGTCTTTGTTTATAGTCCTATGTAAAACTAGACACCATTTCAATGTCAGCCCCTTAGAATGTCAAGTTATTACGACTTTCGGCTTATATCTGACAATAAATAGCTGCCTTTCTTGTATCATTGAAGTTCGCAAATGCAGTGATTTGTTGGTTTGTTTGCTAGCAAATACAGCCAATCAGGGACATCAACACTTAGCTAATGTTTACAGCCTTTCTGTTGAGGGATAAAGAGGAGAAAATGTCAGAATACAAACTGTAAATATATGATACTATTATTGGTTCTGTGCATTATGTAAATGATAATTGGCATGAAATTACAGTAGTTGAACTTTCTAGATTCTAATGTTAGAATAATACATAATAACATTTCCATATTGTACAATAACAATCGAGTAAACACCTACGCACACTTTAAATTGGACATTATTTTCTTAATTTTGAAGTCTTTTTCTGCACAACCTTCAGAATAATCTTTCAAAAGGTTTCGTAACTAAGAGCATGAGTCACATAACTTTTTCTTTTTAAATATTTTTTCATGTAAATAAGTACATAACTCTGCCTTGACATCATGTAAATTAAAAAAGACATTTATTATAATACACAACTAACATCAAATTTGTGGCCAATGCTGAAGTCTGGACAAAGAGTCCCTTAGGGAAAAATACCCCCAATACTTCTCTAACGCTGGGTTGGAACACTTTCTTTTTGTGGCAGTGGAATAGCTCAATCAGTAGCGGGTTGGATTGTAGTCTGCAACGCATTTAGGTGCAGTGAGTTCGAAACCTCAAGGATAAGAAATATTCTGATTCCTGTACCAGTGCTTTACGAAATCACAGGATGATGGAAAAAAAAATAAAAAATAGTGCATAGCAACCAAGTTCAACAAATATTAAGAGAAAAACAAGTAAAGATGTTGTGATGAGAACTGCCTGACTCCATTACTAGTCAGAGGTCAATCAGATCAGTGGAAAGCCTGGACACATTCCTTCACAGGCTGAAGACAAACATGACCTAGTTTTTCATTCAGATGTCTGTAGTTAGTATTTGTGTAAACAATACAAGTCATTAGTCACTAAATTGCTATTACTAATAGTTAAATAATAAATTTACACGAAAGTAATGTCAAATCATCTTTATAAAGTTAAAGAAACCCTTCTAGAGCAGTATCATGCTGATAGTCTACTAGGATAAGTTAAAGAAATGAAATAGTCAGGAATCATCATAAGATGTGGCAAGATAAAGTTGAATTTATGTAGTCTGAGACTTCAATTGTACTCATGATTTATTTCTTTACGTAGAATAACAAAGTCAGATTATCTAAATTACTTAAATTAAGTCAGATTTCCAACCGGAAATTCTAGGTTTACATACTCAGATATCCGACCATAGAGTTAGGATAATATAGAGTAAAAAAGTCAGATATCCACATAGCACTTGGATATCCAAGCAGAGTAAGATATTACGGATATATCTCATGAAATAGAATAAATCAGATATCCAACTTCATAAATTATGTAATCAATAGACAATGCAAATGATTTCTTAAGCTAAGATCAGTTTTAACATGCTGCTTATTGTACCATAAGTAGTTTATAATAATAATAATGAAGTAATTAATTCAGATTTGTTATAAGTTAATAATACAATATGATAATCTGATAATCAACAGATTACACTGAATTAATAACTTATATTAATCTTCTTCCAATGACGACCATGAAAAATATTGAATTTTAAATGGCGCTTTCAGGAAGACTTTGATGAAAAATAATAGAAAACTGTTCAACTCCTACATTACCATCCTTGGTTACAAAACTAACCTTTCTCACGACGGTCTAAACCCAGCTCACGTTCCTTGTGGGTGGGTGAACAATCTAACGCTTGCCAATTTTTTGTGATTTTCTGTAAACGACTAATTTGAATTAAGATTGACCTGCAGAAAGTGCCGTAAGGAAGTCAGGAATATTGAAAAGAAGTTTACTAATTACATCACAATATGGCACTTTTCAGTACTGTAATATTGAAATAATTCAATCCCAAATACCTTTTGAACTGAGTAAACATAAACAAATTAACCAAGCAGATTTTATGATTTCTAAATGCTCTAGTCTATGACCAGTAAAAAACATCTTTAGAGACACACAAATTAAGAAGAACAGTCTTTTTTAAACTCAGGAGAGAAACCTGTTAAAATACAGAACAGAAATAACTTTCAATTTCATGTTTCCAGACAATTAATAGATAAAGAAACATTAAAAGCATGCCATTCAAAACTATTTTTAGATATATTCATTCACTTTTTTTTTCTTTTTTTTTTTAGATATATTCATTCATGCCATTTTTTTGTAGATAGTTTCATTCAGTCAAGCCATTTCAAACTATTTTTAGATATATTTATTCATTTAAGCCAATTAAAACAAAATTTACATACACTCATTCAAATGAAAACTATTTTATGAAATATTTAGTCATGTCATTTTAAACTATTTATGAAAACTATTCTTAGATTTTAGTTTGTTTTAATCACTCTGTCATGCCATTTCAAGCTAATTTTAAGATTCTTTCTTTCGGTCATGCAACTTAAAATCTATATTTATATAGTTCCATTCATCCATGCTAAACTGGAATATATTTATATTGTAAGAATACTTGTGGCTATTATTGTTATCTCAGGGTATTTATTATTTTCAGCTGACTAGAACTAACAGTTTTCCATTGAACATCGTCAAGCAAAGACATTTGTGCACATCTTGGTTCATTCAAAACATAAAAAACATGTTTATGGTTTGAATAATGCATGTGCTTAAAAGGTTTTCTTGTGTATCAGGGATAACATCATCGATTATCACTATTCCAATTTTAAATCAAATGACCATGGTTCTTGCAATATCACAAAAACTAGCGGTTGTCATAATCTTGCCATATTAAGTTGCTATCCCATAATGTGTCAATGTTTTTAAGAAATGGGTTCTTCTTTGATTGGTTAA